AGCACCATCAACCATTACCATTGACAGCACAGCCAACTCAACCATCGACAAATCAACCATCACAAACTCAGCACCATCAACCATTACCATCGACAGCACAACCAACTCAACCATCGAAAAATCAACCATCACAAACACAGCACCGTCAACCATTACCATCGACAGCACAACCAACTCAACAATCAACAACTCAACCATCACAAACTCAGCACCATCAACCTTTACCAATGACAGCACAGTCAACTCAACCATCGACAACTCAACCATCACAAACTCAGCACCATCAACCATTATCATCGACAGCACAAACAACTCAACCATCGACAACTCAACCATCACAAACTCAGCACCATTAACTTTTACTATCGACAGCACAACGAATTCAACCATCGACAATGCAACTATCACAAACTCAACACCATCACCTTTTACCATCGACAGCACAACCAACTCAACCATCGACAACTCAACCATCACAAACTCAGCACCATCAACCATTACCATCGACAGCACAACCAACTCAACCATCGACAACTCAACCATCACAAACTCAGCACCATCAACCATTACCATCGACAGCACAACCAACTCAACCATCGACAACTCAACCATCACAGGTGCCCTGTTGAATTACCAAGAACCCTCACCAAATCAACCATCACCATCGACAGCACAGCCAACTCAACCATCCAAACTCAGCACCATTAACTTTTACTATCAACAGCACAACCAACTCAATCATCGACAACTCAACCATCGACAAATCAACCATCACAGGTGCCCTGTTGAATTACCAAGAACCCTCACCAAATCAACCATCACCATCGACAGCACAGCCAACTCAACCATAGACAAATCAACCATCACAAACTCAGCACCATCAACCATTACCATCGACAGCACAACCAACTCAACCATCGACAACTCAACCATCACAAACTCAGCACCATCAACTATTACCATTGACAGCACAACCAACTCAACCATCGACAACTCAACCATCACAAACTCAGCACCATCAACCATTACCATCGACAGCACAACCAACTCAACCATCGACAACTCAACCATCACAAACTCAGCACCATCAACCATTACCATCGACAGCACAACCAACTCAACCATCGACAACTACCATCGACAGCAGAACGAACTCGACCATCGACAACTCAAACATCACCATCGACAGCACAACCAACTCGACCATCGACAGCACAACCAACTCGACCATTGACAACTCAACCATCACAAACTCAGCACTATCAACCATTACTAGCAATAGCACAACCAACTCAACCATCGACAACACCACTGATGACATATGAACAGGTGTACCAAAGATTGAAGACTGATATGGAAGACTACCTTGACAGAAAACTAATCGCCTTCAGAGATGAATTGTTACAGTCAACAGGAGATGTGTCCTTGAGAGATATATCTATGCTGGATATATCTCTATTACAAGCTGATAAACTATTGGGTCCTCAAAACCTGAAGGATTAAATTTATGATGGTACCTACAGTTTGCAGCGCCGTTTTTGGTTTTATGCAGACACTATTTTTGACTTAGTTCAAAGAATGCGAGTCAAAATAAAGTAATTTTGAAATAAATTGACATTTGATTTTCAACCTGGGATAAATATATATATAATTTTATATATTTGTTACAAAGATAGTCAAAAAGTTAAAAATTGCGCGCTTTGAATTTAAAGTGTCAGATCGAGTATACATGTGATTCACAAACGATCTGTATTTAGCGGCATCTACTACGACTTGGCTGTATTTTTCAGATAAATATGTTGATAATAAATTTACGTAACAATCAATAAAAGTAGAGATACAGTACGTACACTATACGAGTGTTTCACACTGGGTGCATATATTATTGACCATCCGTCGTCATTTGTGAATTAGTGCTATTTTGAATCTGGACATTACTTTCGTCAAGAAAATCATGTTTTTGAAAGTTTCGGCATCTCTCATCATTTTTATGGTCCATGCCATGTGTCTAGGTTTGTTCATCTGTCTGATCATTTGGCAGTACCGAGTCTTTCGCCATCTTAATTTTCAACATACTTTTTTGACAGTGGACATTGACACCTTTAGTTCTCCACTCCGAGTTTGGTTTTTGTCTGAATGTTTCTGTAAACTTTGATTCATCCTGTTTCTCTACAACTCCCTAAAACTTGCCGATGAAATTTTTAAGAAACCAACACTCAATCTTCCATTTCCAATCTCTTCCTGATGTCTATCTGCTTGATTCCAATAGCTGTCAAGGAAACAATTCGTCGCCGAACACAATCAGATGGGGTCATGCATGGTTTAACTTGAACAGAGCTTTTAGATGAATACAGCTTGCGTGTAAGACAGCAAAGATTATCTGTATGAATACATATACAGCTAACTACAATATTTCTCAGTGTTGTTTACATATGTAAATTACTTCTTTGTTTGATGAAGCGATGCTGATGCCACATTGTCGCCATAATGAGGCTACAATGAAGCAAACCAATAAACTTTTTAATGTTGCGACAATAATGATGCTGAAGTGATGCTGAAGCAAAGCTGACGTTAAAGTGAGACCAAAGCTTATGCGATAAGTAGAGAGGGCATTATTTTTGTTTTGATAACTTTGACCTAAAAAGACATAATTGTCTATCAACTCCAAATCTTCATCCATAATTTTGACACCCAAAGGGTGCTTATATCAATTATCTGACATTTTGTTATCTGTTCAGTGAATATATGTATTTTATTGGTATGTTTGCAAATGTGTATTAGACTGTGCAACAAACCCTATGAAACCCAGACTAGTATTCCAATGGGATTTGAAACACACACAATTTTTTATCAGATTTTGACTACTACTTTCTCAATTTTTGTATGATATTTTCACACAGGACACCAAGTGACCAAGTTTGATAAAGTTTGGAATAGAATTAGTAAAGTTATTGTGCACACATTAACAATTATCAACGTCATCATCGATGTCAGCAGACATTTTTCCCTTAATATACTTTTCCCTTCCATCTTTGATGATATTGGAAAGGTAAAAAACTGTAAATTATTAGACATACAATGATTACTGTCTACTGCTTTGTATCAATCCAAGTAGAGTATTTTTCCAGCTATGCAGAAGAAGTGCAATGTTAATTCAACTTGAATCCAATACACTTGTGATACGCATGTTTCTCTATATTTTCCTTCACGTGATGAATTCTATAAATTGCTGCTTAGAATTTGGAATTTTCATTTAACAATGGTAAAAAAAATCATATATTTTCATAAAAAGGGGTACTGGGGTAGTACTGTAAAATCTGTATTAGAAGCAGTGGTTTCTATTAAAATGGTACAATACAATAGAGGAGATGTGGCTTATATTAGAGCATCTACAAATATGAGAAATTATGATTTTTTGGTTCTTAATTGTTCAAAAAGGATGGGTTACCGGTGCGACTTCTATTAGAGATGCGGCTTCTAAGACAGATTTTATGGTAGGTGGTTGACAAGCAAAGACAGCCTTTCAACTCGCCCCTTATAAATCTATACAAGATTTCCCCCATCAACCTGTATTATATTTTACATTTTCATACTTGTAAAACAATACTACAATAACTGTATAATATAGTGAAGTCATAGCTGGCAATAATCACTCTATAAAAACAATACAGCTAATACTCACAGCGGTAGTTCTTGACACAGTGTTCATTTTCGGAACTCGTACTTCTTTGATAGTGTGTTTGAGATTGGCCAAAATAAAATCCATTGGAAACCAAAACTTGAAATTCTTATCAAGTACACAATCTGAAACTTCTCTCTTCTGTAAGATAATGACAATATTTATATCTGACATTTCTTCAGGTAAAATTAAATCATGTTCAAAGATTATCAGTTTTTATGCATGAATTCTCAAAATACCTTTGATGCTGCATATGACGGGCAATCCACAGCCATGTCTAGTAGTAATAAACTCAAGTACATAATCGGTTCAGTCACATTTTTATCATGTAATGCCTGTGAGAGAAATTAACAAAACATGAAGCTGAACTATACATATATCATTGAATGATCTTTCACAAACCTGACATGATAAATTTGTCTTTCATTGGTGGACGTATAAGTGCAATTCTTAAGCTCATGGCTATCTTATCTGAGTCTAGGTGGAATGATCTGAGGGTAGTTTTCTTCACAGAACACCACTCAATTGCATGGGTTAAAATCTTAGTTTAATAACTATTTATAATAACATGGATATTATATATAAAAGATGTATTTTTAACATAGTGCAACAATTACCATCTTCCTAGATACCAGGTATTATTAGAAGAGAATAAATTGGAACATTGGAATTGTTGTAGAATAGTTTACCTTGTATAATAAGACAAAGATCATTCCATGCAATGTCCTAGAATGCAACAACCGTCTTAAACCGTTAAACGATCCATGTATCATCCTAAGAGGCTGGAAAGGCGGCCATAGAGATCCACTAAACTTACCAGTATTCTTAACACTGTAAAGTAGAAGATATGATATGATCAGTGATTTTTGCAGGTAGAATAAGTGATTGCATTTCACAACCCTCTTTAAGTGTCATCTCAACAAGCAGCATATCGGCTGAGATAGCTCCGCAACATTTCAATTGAAGAACTCAAGACATCATTAGAAAATTAATGATATGTATAGTATCAAAGCAATTGGACTTGCGGTTTTCAACAAGAATTCAAAAATATCACTTTTCACCAAAAATATTCATCAAAGTTAGATAATTGAAGATATCATCACGAAATGAACAAATCTGAGAAAGGTCTACATGTAGTACCTATTAGCAATCAGACTTGTGGTTTTTAACGAGAAGTCGAAAATTTTACCAAAAATTACAAAAATATTCACCAGAATTAGAGAATTAAAGATATCATTACAAAATGAACAAATCTGAGAAAGGTCTACATGTAGTACCTATATATATAATATCAAAACAATTGGACTTGCTGTTTTCAACAAGAAGTCGAAAATATCACTTTTTACCAAAAATTACAAAAAATATTCACCAAAATTAGAGAATTAAAGATATCATCACAAAATGAACAAACCTAAGAGAGGTCTACCCAAGGTACATATATACCAAATTAGAAAGCATTCAGAATTAGGGTTTCAAAGAAGAAGTTAAAAATATCAATTTTGACCAAAATTCAAAAAAATATTCAGCAAAAAACAAAATTTGACATTTTGACATGAAACGAACAAATCTGAGAGAGAACCATCCAAGGTACTCGCATATCAAACTTCAAAACATTCTGACTTGCGGTTTCGAAGAAGAAGTTAAAATTGTAAAATTGACGCCGACGACAACGATGACGGATGACGGACAATCAGTAATATAAACAGCTCCGCCGTGTTGACTTCGTCGACAGCGGAGCTAAACATCATAAGAAGTCAAAACTGGTAATCCTCTGACAAATTTGTCAATTGGTAGAGCAAATACTGAGATTTGCTGGAGGAGTAAAAGATCCATATGTGCAAGATTTACCATGTCAGAGGAGAGTTAGGTGGGCAAGTATAGCTATTCATATATAAAGGACACCTTAACTTACTATACAGTAAACCTAGCATTTGTATCACTGCATATACACAGGACACCGTAACTATCTGGGAAGTATATTTATAGTACTGTATATACAGGAAACCTTAACTTACTATGCAGAATATATAACTGTATATACAGGGCTCCTTAACTTACTATGCAGAATATATAACTGTATATACAGGGCACCTTAACTTACTGTGCTGTATATATGACTGTATATACAGAGCACCTTAACTTACTATGCAGTATAAATAACTGTATATACAGGGCACCTTAACTTACTATGCAGTTGTTATCACTGTATATACAGGGCACCTTAACTTACTATGCAGTATATATCACTGTATATACAGGGCACCTTAATTTACTATGCAAAATATGTCACTATATACAGGGCACCTTGACTTACTATGCAGTTTTTATCACTGTATATACAGGGCACCTTAACTTACTATGCAGTATATATCACTGTATATACAGGGCACCTTAACTTACTATGCAGTATATATCACTGTATATACAGAGCACCTTAACTTACTATGCAGTATATATCACTGTATATACAGGGCACCTTAACTTACTATGCAGTATATATCACTGTATACAGGGCACCTTAACTTGCTATGCAAAATAAATCACTATATACAGGGCACCTTAACTTACTATGCAGTATATATCACTGTATATACAGGGCACCTTAACTTACTATGCAGTATATCTATCCATAGCACTCTGTATGTCTCTTTTATGAACAGCTCTCAGAATACTGTGTAATGGATCATACTGCTTCTCCCACACTTCAGACTTAGGAGAATATTTTCCTTGTTGCATGTCACCAGCTTCAAATACAGGCTCCTTGTATTCAGCAACCTAAAAGTCCAAATAGAATAATGAATACTAATTTATATCTAGTGTCCAATCATCAGATAAATTCAGAACTACCATGCATATTCGCTGAATTTAAAATGAAATAAATTTTGTTTGAGAGTTTCACATACAATTTGATATCTACACTAAGCCTGTGCATAAAATTGCTAAAATCTCCTTACTGGGCAGTTTTCTACCAAGTATCAATAACCTGATTTCTACACAGCCATCATCAATGATATCAGCTGTCAGGATATTATCTTGGATGTTGTTGCTTAGATACACAGCAGCCATTTTGCAGACAAAGCCAGAGATTTTAAAGGCTTGTGGTATTACATGTAGAAAACCTCATGCAAGACAGAGAGTTTGCAGTGTAATATGAAAGGCCAAGACAGAATTACTAGCATATCATCAAAGCTTCCCTTACTCACCTTTTTCAGTATCGCTTCAAAGTCTTTACAAGGACCAGCCAGACCAGTCTTATCAGGCACCAAATCAATAAGCTGACTGTGAGTCCTGTCATGAGCACATAACTGTGTCACCATCTCCAACTGTAAAATCTCTTTGTCTGACAGACCTGAAAATCAGAATAACATTCGCATTGTCAGAAATAAAATGATTTTGTAATTAGTGTGTAAAGCTGGAAACATCACAGGTGATTCAGTGATGTGATTTGGCAACTTGATCCTAAGATGTTGAAAACTACAGAAATGTTTGGTAAAAAAAATTGTCCAGTTGTCTAGTGATTCTACTGTATTTTTGTTATATGAAACAAATGACTGCAAAATTGATTACACCACATGGGTTAAAAAAAGATAAATAAAGAGAAACCCGTCATTTCTAAACATTTTGAATGCATGTTTATCTCACTCACCTAAGAGTAATCTGGAGTTCATCAACATTGCAATAAATGTAAGTGTACCCTCCAGCATTGGTATCTCCTTGTCAGAATCAATGATTGAATTTATGTGCTTTGGGGCAAATGTAATCCAGTCTAGTACGGAGAATCTCTCCAGTATCTTGTATACAAAGTAATCTGGATCAAGTTGAGATCCACATAGCTGTGTGAAATCAATACAAAAAGTAATTACGTGAAGCCTTCTCACTCTTCTATTCAATATCAAAACAGCTTAGCTGAGAACAATTGGGATGGGTTTCTCGTTTCAGGTTATTTTATCAATACACATTCATGTCCAAGAAAGAGTTCCTTTTGCAACCCCACCCCTAAACCCTAACAATAACACACACACCAGCCCTCAATTTTAATTGTACATGTCCCCTCTAGATAACTATAGACATTCTTAGGAGGGGCATATACAATTATATTGGGGAGCGTTTGAGGGGTAGGGGTAGGATTTGAGTTAGGGTTAGTGATGGGAGTGCAAAAAGAACTCTTTCACATGTCCCAAAGAATGTCCACTCTATGACTACAGTAGACTGTGACAGCAATTTTAGCCAATCATAATTTACGTACCTGAATAATAAACAGATCAGGATCCATCATTGAATTACAGAAATGACTCTGTACATATGTCATAGCTTGTCCACGGATCTGTAAACCATTACGTACCCACAAACCACAGTGTATCTCACAGTTAGCAACCTAAAAAAATCCATAATATCATTGCATTTACAAGTATTGCACAGGAAATTATGTACATGTATATTTTCAGCACATTAATGTCATAGCATTATCCATGGAAGACTATCATTGAGAAAGGATATTTTGTCCAAAACCTCTGGCTACTGGTATAACCAATAATTACCAAATATCAAGATTACCTACAACCACTTGCTAATTATTACATTCATAAAAAGCCCTGCATGGCACAGTCCCAGTTAGTTATCAAATTTAAATATATAGTTTTGTTTATAGTAATATATTGGAACATAAACATGTCAGAAGTATGGATCCAGGAGATGATGCTTGATTATGATGATTTTTTAACATTAAAATGATTG